AGGGTGCGTACGGTATTTTCACCGGATCCCGCGTCGTTATTCGCCGAAACGGTGGGAAACACGGCAGGTTGTTGTTGTTGTTGTTGCTGTAGCTGCTGCTGTTGCTGCTGCTGCTGCATTCTCGCGAGATTTTCCGCAGAAACCAAAACCATCTTTCTCGCTCTTTCCATGATTCATCCCCGCGACCGTTCGATTTAATTAATTTCGCGATCTGCCGATAACGCTCGATAGAATAGCACCGAGTATGGGTCCGATCAGGTAAGGCAAGAATCCCCCTCTTTGCACGATAATTTTCCTCTTGGCTTTCAAATTAGTGCGTTTACTAGCGATATTCCGCAGCGCGGTTTTGTACCTGGACAAACGATTTTTTTCCCGCTGGTCTAGCGGTACGTTACCTCTGAGTGTGTTGAAAGCGCATTCACAGATACAGGCGATGAAATTACCTGCGCTGCGTAAGAAGGCGGTCCGCTCTTTTTTCGTTAAATAGCACAGTGCTTTCAGAAGGCAGACGTTTTTCCGGCCGATCGAGCGACACGCGATACTCGTCGCTCTATCGCTACTCCCGCGTTTCGATGTCATCGCAAGGACGCGACTGTCGCGATTCGGGTAAGCGTGCAGAGTTTTATACGTGATTTCCCGAAGATCTACGCGGGACGTAAACATAATGAGCGTTCCGTGGGGAAGATGCACGCTCGAAATCGATATTCGTCGGGAGCGGACTGTTTCAAATCGAGCAGCAAATATCCGTGCGGTCGCGAAGTAGCGTCGTGGTACGCCTCTTCCAGAAACTTCGGATTATCCGGATAAACTTGACGCGCCAAGTGGCGAATTTGTGCGCGATCGCGAGGATTTTTGAATACCACGGTGTAATTGCTGTTGAGAGAAATATCCCGCTGTCCGCGACCTTGATGAAAGAGATTTTGGGAAATCAGTATAACGCTGAGGTTCTTGTGATGACTACCTTTTGTGAACAAATCCACAATCACGTCGCACGAGGACGATTCCCTCATAAGGTCGTCGATTATCACTAATTTTGCGCAAAGCGGATCGTGCGAGTAATCATCGGGGCGGTGTAAACCCTCGCAAAACTCGATTATATTTCCCCCCGCGCTTTCCGATGTTGCACGATGCCGCCTCGGATTTTTCGCGGCGGTACAGCGAATCCACTTCGTGCTGCAGTTGACGATAGGCCTCCTGCCACTCCGCGTAATAAAACAAAATTCTCTTAAAACGGACGTCGGACATGACGGACAAATGACAAAGAAAAGTCTTCACGAAGATCGTTTTACCGCATCCCGCGGACCGCAAACTATCGACGTCCAAGGATACCTCCAGCGCACGTCCATGTCGCGCGAACAAGCGGTCTCGCGACTGTGGGCTAACAAACCCACGCGGGGGGCCCATGCGGCGGCCGCGGCGCTCGCGCCAGCGTACATCCGCGGGGACGTGTGCGCGCGCGCGCGCCTCAGCGAGCTCTTTCCCGCGGCGCGGCGCGGTTCGCGTCGCCGTGAGCGTGCTTCCTCACGCGACGCGTAAAAAGCTTATTTAGCGCTGGCGGGAAAGATACAGCTCGTATACCCCAGCGCTAGAACCGCGATTGTTGAGTTTATCGCGTTGGAACAAACGATATTTCTCGGTTCACGCTCAGTCGGGATATTTTATCCTCTTGTTTGAAAGTTACTTTTATCCGTCGCACTTAAACGTCGCGCAAGAAATTCAAAATTGTTTCGCTCGCTCGCTTAAAGTCTAGGGGTTGGAGGGGATATGAGTATGTGTAAGAACAAAAATTGATTTAAAAAGTTTTTTACTTTTTACATTCGCTTTCGCTACATATAAAAGTCCTTATTTTTAAAGTATAGTGCGTAAAATTTACATAGATCTTTTTACATGAGGAGTAAACAGACGAGTATATTCCGCAAATTTCGCATTTTTTACATTTTTCTTATATTTTACAGTTTTTACATTTTTCTTACCCTAGGAATAATTTTAAAATCTTACGCTACAAATTAGTAAAACAAAGGAGAGATATATCGCTATTCGCTGGAGACGTAACCGTACGGTACGAAATATCCGTTGTCGTTAAAACTGCGCTTTAGTAATACCGGCATGCAGGACTTTGTCTCGTCTCTTGTGACAATGTCGTGAAATACGGTGCGCCGAATCGCGCTAAATCACAGTTTTATCACGGTTTTATCCTCAGCCGTCTCTTCTCCCCTCTTTAACTTTTCCTCGGCTAGTAACAATGCCTTAATGGAGCTAAAATTAAGTACGCGAGAATTTTCAAAATTCAGGGTTATCCCCTTCACTTTGCAAATTTCTCGCGCGCATCCTTTGCCCGTACGGACGTAAGCGTAAAATTTCAGGCCGGTGGATACGAACGTCTCGATGTAGCTACCGGGGCCGTGCGAAATCTCGAGTTCGTTCGTCATATCGCCCAAAAAATTTCCCGTACGCGGTTCGTACTCGTCGGGATCACCGGTGCTCAAATATATGCACGAATCGGTATCGTGATATAACACGCGACGATCTAACTTTTCTAAATACGAATAAAGTTTTAATCGGGCTAACGCCGTGGTGTAAGCGGCTATTGCGACGCTGGTCAGCGGAGACGGAGTGACGGCTTCTCGCCTCATTCGCCACGAAACATATATCACTTCGTCGTTTACGGGCAATACGTTTATTATTTCGTGCTCCGGGCTCGTGAGCAGGGCCGTGAAACTCTCCCACGTTCTAACGATTTCGGTATTCGGTAGATTGGACCGTTGGCCGAATTTACCCCAGAAGGAGTTGAGGCAGAGCTTCGCGACCGAGCGCAAGCCTGGATTCGGAGAGATATTCGCCCTATTGAGACCCTCGACTATCTCGTATTCGCGCAGATAACGTTCCTTGCCGCCTTCGTCATTCGCGCATTCGTTCGGCCATCCGCTAGCCTCTTGCTTCAATTGCAGAAAGCAATTGATATACTCGGTGAACAATTCCCCCCGCCGCGTAACCGGATCGTATCGCGTGACTTCGTACCTCCATATTTCGCTCACGCTCGTGACGCGATAACCTTTCTCGATAGCCTTGCGTAACTCGCACCCTACGCACCCTAACCCACGCACCTTCAAATTCACGATCGGCAGGGTCGTCGTGCGTACACGCGGCCTGAGAAAATGTCTCGCAGCAGCTGCGACAAAACGCGAATAGCAATTTTCCGTTCACGCGATAAGGAAGTACCGGATGGAAGAGATCACGCGGCGCGAGCACTCTGCAACGTACGAGACCTTCTACGGCGTCAAAGTTAAAATCGAGGCCTGCTCTGATCAAGGCGCAACACTCTTCACCCACGTAAATGTCCGGATGACCGAGCGGAAAAGCACCCGTCTTCAGCACATACGGGTACAAAGAACACACGTCCACGTAGCGTATCTTCTCCGTACCCGTAACTTCGTACCGCGTGACGATATTTTCCGTACGCCCGCCGTAGAACGCCTCGCGAGGTTCGAAGGGATTGTTTCTCAACATGGGATGATTTTCAACGAATTCGCGTATCTCGCGATTTTTGCGCAGCTCCCGATCGAAGATACACTCCCACTTTTCCGTAACGACGTAGCCCCGTTTTCTAAGACGACGCGTCGTCGCGCTCGTAACGCGCTTTGATCGTATCCTCACGCGACACGGTTGAGAGCGGTCTGTCGCGGTTCACGTGAAAACACTTGGGACATCCGTGCCAAAAACAACCGTGAAACTGCAGCATGTGACGCTGCCGGGGATTCTCCGTCTCATAATACCCGTCGACGAGCGTGCCTTCCGATAAACGCCGTTCCCGACCTCTCCCCGCGTGAATTATCGTGCGTCCGAGCTCATGCTCCATC